TGGAATTGAGTGTTTGGGTAATGCTATCAATTTATATTGAGAATGATTACGAGCGATTGTCTCATGAAACTGGCCATGCACTCTTCTTGTTGGATGCTGTTTCTGATGGTGTTCATTATGAAGTATGGGTTTTCTGTTAACAGTGCTCCTGTGGAGAAATTCTTGTGTGATCTAAACACCTGGAATGGTTGTAATTTTCCTGATCAATTTGGGTTTTATTTAATGAACACAGTGTCCAGTCTCCAAAAATTCCACCCCCCCCCTTTTTTTTGGGCCATCAGAAGCTCAGGGCTCAATCTGTAACCGCCTTTCAGCAGGTGGACATATAGGAAATTGCGGCACGGAGTTGCAACTCTTCCCTTCTGCCCTGCTTTTCTTTGTTTTCCAGGTCTCGGTTTGCTTTTTGCCACCATGCTTCTGTGTTTATCAGGCCACCTTGGGTGGACTGGAGTTGATAATGGGTAGACCAGTTAGGCAACATGCTTTGAATGGCATCTATGTTCTTCATCTACACAAAACACGGGGATACTTACATGGTCATTTAATTCTATCTTGCTCTGTTGGGAGCCCAGGAGTTCCATGGAAAAGTCGTGAACCTGTGTTACCCCAGGAGTTTGGACATATATATGTGATAAAGTGCAGGACGGGGACCTGTTTCTAGATATTCTTCTGTAGGGAGGGACACCGAGGACCCCGAAGGGATGGCAGATTGTGAAAGAGTGGGATAGAACCCACAGGTGGCCCTGAGTGTCCCAAAGAAAGAATAACTCAAATAGGGTGAGAGGCTGCTTTGGACTCCACTGTAAGCCCGCTCCTTGGAGGGGGAAAAAGAGGACTGTGGTCTGGAAATAGGGGTCCCAGGCCCGCTGCTGTGGGACTGGTATGAAAGAGCAGGCTCTTAGAGAAAAAGGCGTCTGCTCACTGGCTGAGGTTGAAGTGACCACTGGAGCTCTGTGGGTGGAGGCGGCAAGGTGCCCAGGGTGTGCTGTGAAAGGTGGCTGTGATAGGTCCCCTTAGAGGGCTAGGACCAATCCGCTCTCAGCTCAGGGTTAGCTGAGCAGGCCACCCACCATTGGCAGAGGCCAGGAGGTGAGGGGTGGGCAACTGGTCCAGTAGACTAGGGACAAATGGTTAATGTGACCTTGCTTGGGGCCTGTAAGCTGGGCCCAGGGATATAGCTGTGAGCCCTCCTAAATATTGTCTAGAAGAGGCAGAGAACTGGTTTAATTAGACCATTGACAAAAAGTTATTAATAACTTCTTCTTTGAGAATTGATATATCTCTATGAAGGTGTTTTCTGCATTGTATCTTAAGTGTATGTTGGTTGTCTTCCTCTATACTTTGCAAACTTTATGAGGGTAAGAATCATATCTATTGATTCTGTGCCCCTTTGTTAAGTGTTTCTAGAATAAGCAAGGGAATGGATTCAAATGGGAGAGACCCAACCACTTTGGAAGTTCTTTATCTTTCTGCTCTCCTCTCATCACCTTATAAGTGAAAAATTTGGCCCTTGGTCTGGGGGAGTACATTCTCTCTCTGGTCTATTAGAGAGAGCATGGATTCTGTGGTTAGGTTGCAATGGATTTAAACCTGGCTCCAACACATCCCTTCTGTGTGACTTGAACAGGTCACCTAACTCCTCAATGCATCAATTACCTTATTTAAAGGAGGGATAAAATAAAGTTGTGAGAATTAAGTGAGAGCAAATAAGACGGCATGTGCAACCAGTGCCTAGTGTATCCCCTGGCATGGAGCAAATGCACGAGAGAACATGTTTCTTCTGTTAGTCAGGATGGGCAAGGCTCTGCTGTGGTAACAGCTAACCACTAAGATGTCAGTGGTGTAAGACAAGAAAAGCTGGTATTTTGCTCTTGAAAAGTGGAATGCCAATATTACTGCTTCAGTGACTCTCTGGGTGGCTGTCCTCCAATGAGCATCTCAGGGGTCTAGATAGCTTTCTTCCTTTGATGCCACCACCTTCAACAATAACTGTGAGGATGAAAAGGGAGGCTTTTTATGGGCTAGTCCTACAAACAGTGGATATCCCTTTGTTACACATTTCTAGGGCTTATCACGTGGTCTTCCCCAGATGCAAGGTGGCCTGGAAACATGGTGTCCTTGTGTGCACTAGAAAGAAGATCCAAACAGCATGCTGTACACAGGCCATTGTCTCGGCCACACTTTCTGTCGCTAGCCCCAGAGGCTGTTTTTAGCTTGGGATTGATTCTCAGTCAGCAATTCCCAGGAACACTAGGGATGCTGCAGGCTGCCCCTGCTTATCAATTCCAGGGAGCCCGGTCTGCTGTCGATGCTGTTGACCTGATTCATTTGTCTTCCGCAGGCCGGCTCCAGTGAGCAGGGGCGATTTAGGGAAAGGAGGGTGACCTCTTAGAGCCACTGCAGCCCCTGCGAGTTTTACATTGTAGATGCAGCGTGTTGTGTTTCCATATCTGGGGCATTCAGTCTGCTGTTCTGGTCAGAGAAGGTTTCTAGAAGAGACTTGGGAGGGTCGTTTGGGATTTGTCAGGCCTGCAGTGTGGGGAAGGAGCTTTCTAGGTACAAGGGGCAGGTACGAGACTTGGAAGAGCAGCTGGAGCTGGGGGACTGGCATGGGCTCCCGGTTCCTCCCGTGTAGCTGGCCTGTGTCAGGCATCCCACTAACATGTATTGGTTCATCCATTCAGTTTTATTAAGCCCCTACTCTGTGCCAGCACCATTTCCACTTTACTGTCTAGTGCAGCGGTTCTCAACCTGTGGGTCGCGACCCCTTTGGCAGTCGAACGACCCTTTCACAGGGGTCGCCTAAGACCATCCTGCATATCAGATATTTACATTACGATTCATAACAGTAGCAACATTACAGTTATGAAGTAGCAACGAAAATAATTTTATGGTTGGGTCACAACATGAGGAACTGTATTGAAAGGGCCAGAAGGTTGAGAACCACTATTCTACAGAAAGCCACTGTTCACCTGACAGCAGCAGGCTTTATCCCACTCTGGGCCCTCGCAGCTGCCCTTGGGATTCATGCTGTCCTGTCTCCACCCACACCTTGATCAATCTTGCAGGCGATAAATCTTCCTTCGATTGTCCTCATTTGCGTGCGCCTTTGGTCTCCTTTTGACTGAGACGGGTGCACCACGGGATGGCTGTCTGGGATGCGGGGGGAGGACACCGGTGGGGGACGATCCAGTTCCTAAAATACGGCGTTCCCCTTAGGAGACATTGTCAAGCATCCCGAGCTGCTCTCGGGAAAACAAACGAGGTGGCAGGGCGTGGGGTTGTTGGAGAGGCGCCTGGCGCGCCCGCTCTCTGCACAGCTGTCCTGGCTGTCAGACAAGGTGGCGTCCTCTATGGAAGTTTACACACTGTCACTTAGATGAGAAAAACTGATCCCCAGGGAATCGGCAGCAATCAGTGAGTCATCGCAGATGCCACTACGGGGCGAGACAGCGGTGGGCCCTGGCTGGCCCAAAGCCTCTTCTCCTTTCCTTTGGGGACGTCAGGTAGTGTTGGGAATGTGCTGAATTGTGAGTAGCAAAAATTACTAGTTGCACACTTAATCATTGTGAATACTGATCGAGCGCTGCATGCCAGGCACCGTGTGGTGCCCTCCCT